CAATGGTTTTGCACTTGGCTACTAACCAAATAGTTGACAGTTCAAACCTACCCAGCAGCTCCATGGGAGAAAAACTAGGCAATCTGCTTCTGTCAAGATTACAGCCAAGAAAACCCTATGGGGCAATTCTACTCTGCCACATGGAGTCGCTGTGAATTGGAATCGACTCCACAGCACACAACAGCATAAATAAGGTCACTATGAGCTACAGCCAACTCAATGGCAGCAAAAATATCAAACTGATCACATAACCATTCACAACAGAGTTTGTGTTCAAGCCAATGTTTAAGCACGGTAATCTTGTGTTAATACCTTAATGTAAACGTATAACCAGTAAGTACAAAAACAAAGGTGAAAAGACTCAGTACTTTAAGAAATAAGTTTTTTTTCTCAGTAGTACTATTAGTATTACGACACTGAAACTACTTCAATATTATTAGGAACCAAGGTTTTTGTTAAAAAAGAGATGCAAATATAAAAAACAGAAAGTGAAGAGATTTGCCCATTTACATTCATCCCATGAATGTTCCTTGCTTCAGCCTAATAAATCAGCTGTGAGCAAATATTTCTGAAACCCATTAGAATTCTCACTTAAAAGCCATCTTACTGATGTATTTTCTTTGCTAACTTCAAATTAGTAAGTTTCCAGTAAGTTTCCCATGACACCAGAACTCATAGAAAACCTCTTGCCTCACCTTACCCTTTGGAGTTGAACTCAGACTTATGCTGAGGTCACTTTCCTATCGCAACCAGCTGAATAGTCTAGTTTGCCTATTTAACATTGTTCAGCACCATTTTGCATATTTAACATTGGCACCATTTGTTATATATATATACATAGCCTTAAATTTGTATTAGGAATAAGAGTATGAATTTATGATGTAAGAAATTATGTATTTTACAAGCTCACTGAAAGGCTGATACAAAACTGACTCAATGGTAACAGGTTTTGGTTTATCACCAAGCTCATGTACTGCACACACCTTGGTTTTTAAAAAAGAACCAGAGGTTTAGGGAGAAAAAGTTGCTTCCAGATCTGGAACAGGAAAGTACAAAGCGATCCAGGGACTTTTGCATTCAAATACTAATAGGGTTGTGTCAACAATCTATGTGGTTGGTGCAACTAAGAAACTGAATCAACTTTAACTTTTATTAATTTAAATATACAACTAAACTTAATTCAATTAATGGAAAATTATGCTTGGAGTAACCTGTGATTGTGAATCTACTTTTCAAAAATAAAATTTATGAAATGTGCTGCTTCTGGACTCTGGATGATGGAATACAAAAAAAGGAAATGTAAAACATCTTATAAATTTATATTGATTACTTTGATTTCATTTATCATTTTTACCTTGACAATAAATGAACGTATTGGGTTAAATAAGATTTTTCATTAAAAATTTAGCATTTACATTTTTAAATGTCTAATATGGCCACTAAAATATTTTAAATTACATCTTTGACGTGCATTACATTTCGATTAGAACAATTCAAGACCCATCTAACTTACAAAAAATACGGAACACTAAAGAAAATCATAATAAAACAAATACAATAAAACCTCTGAGAGGCAAAGTGATGGGAGTGCCTTGTTTTACCAGGTCTTGCATGTTTTCCACCTTTGACTGGGTGCTTACCACTTTTCTTTTGCTCTCTATTAAGAATTCCACATCATAAACACCCAGTGAGTTTTTCTTCTCTAACAAGTTTCTGGCTTACACGGGTTCCAGCTGTCACAGGTTTGACTGTATCAGGATGCTGAACATTTTAACATTTTACAAGACAAGCAGGAGAACGTTCTGTGTAAGACAGATGAAACAGATGTAGAAATAAAAAGACAACGTGGATTCTAACTTCAAAAAACCCAACAACCATAATAGATAATTTATGGATAACGAGAAATTTTCATTTGTTTTGAGGGACGATGAAGATCTGGGTTGTTCTGGTAGGAAACTGACCTTATTTGTAGGAGCTTAAAGGGTGAAATGAATGTCGGCGATTAACCATTGATTGTTTCATCATCATAATTCATATACATGGACAAAGCCCTTACGTTTATAAAGCCTCTCTAAACCATGAATTTTTATATGATTAGTGAGGTTTGAGAAATCACAACAGAATTTCCCATATTCCATATATTCAAAATGTTTCTCTCCAGAGTGATTTCTTATGTATTCAGTGAGGGATGAGGAATAACTACTTTCCCACATTCCTTGCATTCATAAAGTCTCTCCTACTGTGAGGTTATTTATGTTCAGTAAGCACTGAAGACTGACTAAAGGCTTTCCCACATTCCTTACTGAAGGCCTTTCTCCACTGCGAACTCTTACATGTCTAGTGAGGTGTGAGGACTGACGAAAGGCTTTGCTGCATGTCTTACATTCATAAGGCCTCTCACCACTGTGAGTTCTCATATGTACAGTGAGGCCTGAGGAGTGATAAAAGGCTTTGCCACATTAGTTACACTCATAAGGCCTCTCACCACTGTGAGTTCTCATATGTATAGTGAAGCCTAAGAAGTGAAAAAAGGCTCTGCCACATTCCATACATTCATAAGGTCTCTCTCCACAGTGACTTCTCTTATGTGCAGTGAGGTGTGAGGACTGAATAAAGGTTTTGCCACATTCCTTACATTCATAAGGCCTCTCTCCACTGTGAGCTTTTACATGTTGAGTGAGGTAGGAGGAGCGATTAAAGGCTTTGCCCCATTTCTTACATTCATAATGCCTCTCACCACTGTGAGTTCTTAAATGTGAAGTGAGGTGTGAAGACTGACTAAACGCTTTGCCACATTCCTTACATTTATAAGGCCTCTCACCA